GACACCTATGAAATATTTCTGTATTGAAATTAAGTAGTTCTGAGTTTTGGTTGGCAAGAGAAACCTGCTGACTGTAAGAGATAACAAAAATAGTAGAAAAAATTGCTGTCAACTAGCTGCCTTTGCTTGCACTTGGATTATTTCTGCTACTGAACACAAAAGATTTTTCCATTAATCTTCTTATTTTCCTTTTGTTATGAGGAACAATTCATCCATCTTTGCCAGCTTAAATAAGTAAACATGAGTATTATCAAAAAAAACCAAAACAGCACCAAGAGCTCTGATTGTAGAATTGAAGAAAAACGGACAAAATGCTGAGAAACAAGTTTGTTTCTGGTATTTTCTCTCTTCAGTTCTGCAGTACTGAACAAACTGGAGCTTACATGATTCGAAGGCACAAAAGCTTTTTGCAGAGAGCTACGTCTTTGCAAGACTTAAGCAATGATCAACTTTTAAATAATTATTTGCTTGTTATTAAATGGGGTAGATGGTGAGAAACATAACGATGGTTTTGGTTAGAGAGTGTTGGAAATTCCATATATTTAAAGAGTAATAAAAAATAGCACTTTTTCTTTTAGTCCTTGAATTCTGTGAATACAATGGCAGAATGTTTAGGGGGTTTTATCTGACTTCTTTATTATCATCATCCTTCTCAGCTTGTATTTATTTTGTTTCAACAGAAATATGAACTCAGGTTCCAGTTTCTCAGTGTTACTATATTTCAGAAAGAGTGAAACTGATCCTTTTTTACCTTGATGAAGCTCCTGAGTAACTGAAATTTTCTCCATAACGTCAAGTGTGTACAAATGTGTCATTAATTTCCTTCTTATTTTTTAATCTTTCAGCCAGTTTGACGTAGAATGTGCCATGGGGGTTGCTATCTCAAAGATATGATTGCATAAAGTTGCATAAAAATATAATTCAAGTTAGAAGGAAAATCCCAATCATTGCCACTACTGTGGGAAGGGCCTCTGTCATTAAATTTAATCACATTATTAAATGTGATGGACTCCACGGGAGAGAGCTACAGGAAACCACAAAACAAGTAAAATAACTCAGCGATGGTTTCAAACTGAGGAATGCTGGTTGTCATCTTAAACCTACTTAGCAGATGACAAAAACCTCGTCATTACTTTTGAATACTTTCTTTTTCTGATGTTTTTTTTCCAGACCCCACATACCTAAATGTCTGGTTGCAGTGATGATGACTGTGCTGATGCATCTTGCTGTTTGACAGAGTAGCATACCAAATCTTTTTCTTAAATTCCAAATTATTACTGCTTTGTTACTACCTTGTAGGAAGTGTCACTCCTCTGGGAACATTAGCTAACGATTTCTTGGAAGTGAGGGAAGAAGCAGCAGAAACAAGGGACAGTGGCTGCAATATACAGTCTGTAAATTACATCCCTCATTGTTTGGCTTTTTCTATTCAAGAAGCTTTAAATTCTCATGATTTTTGGTGGTAAGGCCAGATCAGCACAAAATCATGAAGAACCTGCAATACTGTCATTTGTGGTCTTTTTTCCTGGACTGCTATTGGCAAAGTAACAGACAGTGACAAAGTAACAGACAGTAACAGACAGTTTCCATTTGTGAAAGGGTTGCTCTTGAATGTTAAACAATTGGTTAACACGTCCTGCTTCTTCCAGGCTGTGATGTGGTCCCCTGGGAAGCTTTTAGAACAACAACCGCATCTTTGTAGAAGACATGGGTGTACTTAGACATCGGTTTACTTAAGTTAGGAGTTGGCCCAGCAAGTGTATTTTTACTTAGGTTATCTCAAGGTTAGAATAGAATGTCAGGTGTTTTCTGAGCAGCTTTTGTATGTCACAGTAAATAAACATAGAATAAAGATGCTTGACTGTTTTGAAATTCTCTAGTCCCCATCCTACCTGACATTTAGTTTTATTTATATTTTCCCATACTATTTCAAAAATACTCTACAGTCAGCTTATTACTTACATATCATGATCACATTGCCTTGGGTAGAAATAATTTTGATCATCCAATAGTCCTACTTCTGCAACTGATATATTAGAAATTTATTGTTGTTAAATGGATCTGCAACAGGTGACTTTTCCTGTTAACATAATGCTAACATTTCTGTTGCTTGAAAAAAAGAAAGAATAGGATTTCTTCCTACTTACTTACTTCTGGGTGGAGCTATTCATGCCAGTGTTTAAATGTGTTGCTATTTCTGCTTAGCAGATACGCTGCTTTAAATCTCCATGCTTCTTTGTGGAGTGATGGGTTATAACTCTAATTGAAACTTCTAAAAATCCTGTTTTACAGATAATTCTTGTGAATAGATGAATAGGATTTGAGTTCTGAATTATTTAATTCTAGATTTTGAAGATGTAATATTGCTTTTCTAAAGACAGAAAACACTGTCTCCTGTGACAATGTTTGTAACTTTTTATTGGAAAGCAGGTCAAAGAAGTGGAAGAAGGGTAGAAAGAGATCTCTGCAGCTGTATGACAGAAACAGGTTGCTCAGAGATCTATTATATCCAGTGTCTAGTGAAACTAGCTATTGTCATTAAGGTGCCTAGACAGTAGCTAAGATTACTTATTACCTGGTATAAAATTGAATAGAAATTTCACTGAACTTTTTCAAGTTATAGAAGAATCTGTGTTTCAGTTTTTCCTCAAGGATTAAAAGTATTATAACTGCTCTGCATGCTTGGGAGGTAAGTCTTGCAGTTGTACAGAGTCTTTGGATGTACTAGATGCTGTCAGAGGTGATTACCTAACAGTTCAGAAAATGTTTCTTTGTTCAGAAAAAGGTCAAAGGATGTGTTTCAGGTTGCATTTGTAAAGGAGAGATAAAGACGGACGTTTGAACTCAAAGGATTTTGTCTGAGAAAATATAAAATTTTAAATGCTACAAGATGTAAAAAGTCATCTTTTCATTTTTAAAAAGAAAATTAATATTTATGAAATGGTCCTTTCGAAGTAATACATATTCACATATTCATGCATTAAAAACATTCTTGGTTTTGAAGCTATGAATTTTGCAATAAGACTTATTTTTTTCAAGATTATAATCATGCTAAGTCTCACATACGCTTATGTCACTGAAAAAAAACCTTGGTCATTTTAGTCAAATACTTTTGGCTTTTAAAAATCAGGGCAGGCAGAGAAAGTATACATAAAAATAAAGCTAAATTCTTATTAGTCAGTTTAGTAAAACTGATAAATTTTCTGTGAGCTATTAATAATCACAGAATGTCAGGGGTTGGAAGGGACCTCGAAAGATCATCTAGTCCAGCCCCCCTGCCAGAGCAGGATCACCTACAGTAGGTCACACAGGAACGTGTCCAGGCAGGTTTTGAATGTCTCCAGAGAAGGAGACTCCACAACCTCCCTGGGCAGCCTGTGCCAGTGCTCTGTCACCCTCACAGGGAAAAAGTTCTTTCTAATATTTTTGTGGATCCTCCTATGTTCCATTCAAGTGAGTTATTGTCCCTTGTCCTGTCATTGGACATCACTGAGAAGAGCCTGGCTCCATCCTCCTGACACTCCCCCTTGACATATTTATAAACATTAACGAGGTCACCCCTCAGCCTCCTCTTCTCCAAGCTGAAGAGACCCAGCTCCTTCAGCCTTTCCTCATAAGGGAGATCTTTCACTCCCTTCATCATCTTTGTGGCTCTGCGCTGGACTCTCTCAAGGAGTTCCCTGTCCTTCTTGAGCAGAGGGGCCCAGAACTGGACACAATTGATGCTTGATTTATTTCTTTTTAAGGAGAAAAAAAGCAAAAATTTACATTTTAATTTTACCTTACTGTGTTGCAGTAATTAGGAAAATTGATAAATTTATTGTCAAGTATCAGCGTTCATTGTGGTAACGTGGTAACGTGTAAACTGAAGATCTCGCTTTTTCCTTTCCTTAGTAAAGTGGTCAACCTGTCAGTGCTAGGTTAATGATTGGACTTGATGATCTTAAAGGTCTTCTCCAACCTAAATGATTCATGGTTCTGTGCTAGCAAGATATTCAGGGCCGTACAGTAGAGAACCTGAGTGTGTAGTCCCTCCAGGGCTATGCATGCCCACCAGACTCGTGCAGACGTAGCCAACTGCTATGGATGGATGCAGGAAAGAGAAAGAAATCTTTACAGGCACCCACATAACATGAAAGTGCTTAGATGAGCATGAATCGCTCTTAACAGGTTTATGCTTTCCTTTTTCACCACCCTGAAAGTCTGCTAACAGATCTTGTATCCAGCCCCGCCACGTGCACACACTCACATGGATCTCTCCTGGCCCCGAGACCACCTCAAGTGGTACCCACCTCAGATGCCTCTTGTCCAACTTGCTGGCTAGTGCAGCCTGAAGTTTTCAGGGCAGTTACATGTATGTGGCACAGAAGATTTTTAGAAATAGAATTTATTAAGGGGATGAGACAGACTGCGATGGTCATATGCAGGAGTTGGCCCAGCAGGTGTATTGACCATGAGCCTGGTTACTTGCAACTGTCCTGTTTAATCTCATTCCTTCTTAATTTTTTTATGCTTGTTCCTCTGGGATTCATCTTGATCTTCGCCTTCCTTTGGCTCTTCACCTAACATCCCATTAAAAAAATCCTATGTTTGCCTTTAAAAAAAAGAAAAAAAAGAATTCCATACAAGCTTTTACAGAACCCCACAATTCCCCTCCTCCCCAGCATCACATAGCAAGCTTGCTCTTTCTCTTGAGATCCATAATAATCTTGTTTTTCTTCTCATCAGTTAGAGTTCTGGTTGAGCCTCTTCAAGGTAGTGCTTGAGCAGTTCTTTTTACAGCTCATTGATCAGAGTCTCTGGAGTTCTGGGCTTTGTTATTATTCCTGTTATCTATGGTTTGTCAGCTGAGTCCATTTAATCACTTTGATTTCTTAGCTTTGTCTTTTATGCTGAATAGCTGTTAATAAGCTATTTTACAGCAAGTTTCAATTCGGATTAAAAGTATGCCTTTTTTTCTCCTCGTTTTCCTCCCTCTTCCTTTCTCCGTGTTGGAATTCAATTTTCATATCTTAAATGGCTGCTATTCAAGTGAGTTATTGATGTCTATGGGAAGAAATGAGTAGCCTCCTGGAAATTTTTTCTCTCACTTGGTCAGTGTTTTGAAGTAGAGTCCAGAGTACTGTATGCTTTCCAATAACTAGGAATTACAATTCAAATATCTCTGCTGGAATTTTCTATGTACCATTCCATTTCTGTATCACAAAGGTAAATACTGCATACTTTTCTAAATAATACTGTTACTTTATCAGTTAGGGTCTGAAAAAATATTTCTAAAATACACTTGTGTGAAATATGTTAGTAATTGAAATATTTTTTTTTTTTTTGTAGAACCAAAATTGCAGTTTCAGCCACCACATCAAGTACAGCACAAAGTTATGAATGCAGAACAGAACGGCATCAAAGAGAATCATTCAAGGCACGTTTCTCGCAATGACATGAGACAACCAAGGAATGAGAAACCCCCTCGTTTTCAAAGGGATGTTCAGAATTCAAGGCAGGCTTTGGAAAGTGGTGGGTTACCAAGAAACAGAGGTCCTGAAAGACACAGCTCTTTAGAACATTGGACAGAGGAAAAAAATAAAAGCGACAGACATTATCCTAGAAATGATAGGCCAAAGGATTTGAGTTATCCTGTAGCCACTCACCAGAGTGATATTACTTTCAAAAAAAGGGATAACAACATGCAAAACAGAATAGGAAAAGGGGTGTCTTTCACAGAATTCAAGGAGAACTCTGCTGCTCAAGATACTACAGACAACAATAACCAGAAACGTGGGAAAAGAGAAAACCAAATACACAACTCTGAAAATTTCTGTGATAGGAAGGCACGAACAATAAATAGCGAAGCCTTCATGGTAAAAAATGAGCAACATTTTGGTGGTAATAATGATTACCAAAATCTTGGCAGAACTGATAATTTTAACGCTGTACCAAATGGAGATACTGAGCATCATCAGAAAGGAAGACGAGTAGGACCTATTAAATCATCAGGACCCTCTACAATCCCATCTTTTGATGATAAAATGTTGTATTACAACACCGGTCCCAAAAGGAGATCTGGGCCCATCAAACCGGAGAAAATATTAGAGTCATCGATTCACGTGGAGTATGGCAAGAGCTGGAGACCAGGGGATGAATGTTTTGCTCTTTATTGGGAAGACAACAAGGTATGCCTTTGCCAAATGAGAAGCACCTCAGATTTTACTTTCAGTGTTTTCTTACTCAGGTGTGGGAGATCTAGCACACTAGCACAGAGACATGGGCTTTATGCATAGGTGGGTAATGTGTTGCTTGGCTAGCTTCTTACTCTCTGTTCATTTATGAGGTACATGAATGTGGTGGTTTGGTCCTCACTGGAGGCCAGGAGCTGACCAAAGCTGCTCTATCACGCCTCTTTTTTTAGATGGACAGGGGAGAGGGAAGATATAACGAGAGGCCCGTAGGTTAAGATAAAAGCAGTTTAATACAGCAAAAGCAAAGACCGCGCACAGAGGCAAAGCCAAACAAAGATTATTCTCTGCTTCCCATCAGTGGGCGATGTCTGGCCGCTTTCCGAGGAAGCAGGGCTCCAGTGCGCATAGCCGTTGCTCCAGAGGACAAACACAAATAGCGAATGCCCCCCCGCTTCCTCTTCCTTCTCACTTTTGTATCTGAGCTGACATCATATGGTATGGAATACCCCTTTGGTCAGTTTGGGTCAGCTGGCCCGGCTGTGTCCCCTCCCAAGATGTTGCCCAGCCCACTGTTGGGGGAACAGTGGAAAACCACAGCCTTGGTGCTGTGTGAGCACTGCTCAGCAGTAGCCAAAACACTGGGGTGCTAGCAACACCCTTCGAGCTTGCACTCCAGAAACACAGCACTGAGAGAGCTGCTGTGGGAAGATTGACTCCACTCTCAGCTTGACCCAATACAATCTTTGCTGCGTGAAACTTGAGAGTGCTTAAATTATGTCAAAGGTGGTTGTTTCTCTCGTTTAGGTGGAGTTTAGGGTGACTAAGCTCCCAACTGAAGCTTTTGATGTAAATGCTGAAAAATTGAAGAGATGAATATGGATCTAGGTGCCTAGATTCTTTTCCAAGGGCAAGGAAGAGCATACTGAGCTGTCTACAATAGTCTGTAATGATAGATCCTAGAATAAATCAGTGTATAACCTTTACTAGAACAAGGGAATACCAGAGTCTCTAGTGAGACCCCACCTGGAACAGTGTGTCCAGCTCTAGAACCTCCAACACAAGAAGGACATGGAGCTGTTGGAGCGAGTCCAGAGGAGGGCTGCCAAGACAGTCAGAGGGCTGGAGCACCTCTCCTAGGAGGACAGGCTGAGGGAGTTGGGCTTGTTCAGCCTGTAAAAGAGAAGGCTCCAGGGAGACCTTATAGCGGCCTTCCAGTACATGAAGGGGGTCTACAAGAAGGCTGGGCAGGGACTTTTTACAAGGGCCTGTAGTGATAGGAACTTCAAGAGGGCAGATTTAGATAAGATACTATGAAGAAACTCTTTTCTGTGAGGGTGGTGAGGCACTGGAAGAGGTTGCCGAAGGAGGTTGGGGATGCTCCATCCCTGGAAGTTTTTAAGGCCAGACTGGATGGAGCATTGAGCAGCCTGATCTAGTGGGAGACATCCCTGCCATGGCAGGAGGGTTGGAACTAAATGGTCTTTGAGGTCTGTTTCAACCCAAATCATTCTAGGATTTTATGAAATGGGGCTGTTTAAAAAACCCTCTTCTTTTAATTCAGTCATTACAGAAAGGAAATAGCAAAAGACTTTTTTTTTATGACTAGTAGACTATTTGCTGAAGAATTTGTGGAGCAAATGAGTTATGCTGTGTGATAGTTCTCTTTTACGGATTTTTAAAAGTTTGGTTACTTCCTCTTCAGTTGTTTTTCCTATTAATAAGATTTCTTTTGTGGCAAGAAACTTTCATCTTTTTTGTTGCTCAAAAAAGTTTAGACTTTTTTTCTTTGATTTGTTATTTTCTGTTCAGGAGACCTATTACTCTTCTTGGGTAGTTTCCTGATGTTTTGACCCTTTCTGAAAATCTGAGAACTACCTTTAATAATACTATTCTTTGAATAGGTTTCATTCACATCCTTTTCTGCCTTTTCTGTTGTTTGTTTAAGTGTTTTTTTCCTGTTTGGGCTGTTTTTTACAGGAAATATGTAGAGTTAACTTCATTTTTTCTTTCTTGAGTTTGTATGACTAAAACAGATGATAAGGCATGCAAAATTTTTGGTAGTGGCAATGTACAGTGTGTTGACTCTGAAGAAGGAATATGTAGATTGGGTGGATGGTTTAGTGTGAAATATAATGGCATATTATGTAATTGTTTCCTATTTTGATAAACATCTTTGCATTACTGTGAGATGAGTTTTTGAAATTCTAGGAAGTGTGAAACTTGCAAAATAAGTAGACATGAGATAATCCCAGACTGTTACATGAAATGTATTCATCACATTAGAAGGTCTAGCAGTTTTTTGAGGGTTATTGTTCTTTTGGTAGTTATATTAAATGCTGGTGCTCACATCTGTGCACAAATGTGATGATAAAATACGGTACTGAGCTTAACTGTGTTAAGAGGTAGTGATTTCCTTGCATTCAAGAAGATAAAAATGATTGAATATCATCAAGAAAGCTGATACGTGTTTTCATAAATGTCAGAAAATCAAGTTTTGTGTTTAGAAAAAGGACTTTTTGAGTTGGCAGGTTTATCGTATTTTTATAACATTTTGTTACATGTTACAGTAGCCACTTGTAACTCTTCTCTGTATACAGCATTTGTGTTAATGACGCATTTGTTCTACTCTCAGAGAAAAGAAGTTCTTAAATATTCAGTCTAATTTGGTAAGCTGCATATTTTTTCAATAAGTTATTCTAAATATATTCCACTGTATTCTTGCAGCAAATCTTATTCAAATGACGACATTGGCTAATATATATGTATACACACACACACACGTATATTTATTAAAAGGTAATTGTTAAGCTGTTTGTGGTATTTTAAATAGTATTTTCTGACCTTGGAAAATTTCTCTTTTAAGTTCTACCGGGCAGAAATTGAAGCTCTTCATTCTTCTGGGACAACAGCAGTTGTTAAATTCTGTGATTACGGAAATTATGAAGAGGTGCTTCTCAGCAACATCAGACCTGTTCATGCAGACACATGGGTATGTGATAACAAATGGTATTAAAAAAAAATACAAACTACCTAGTCTGTTCAAAACATGTAACCCTTCAGAAATGAATGCCTACTCATGCAAAGACTGCCAATTGCATGTGTAAAAAAAGTAGTTAAGTGAATACAGAAGCATAATCTCAACTCTTCGTTCTTTATATGAATCTTCATAGAAGTGTGTTATCATATGGTATTCTTCCTGTATAATAAATTTCAGTTGTTTGAAAATGAGTAGTTGATCCAGGTCTTGCTAAACGTTATTACTTACCCCATTAAACAAAGTTTTCTGTTTTATTTCATATGCATTGTATGTTGTTCAGTGCAGGTTAGGAAACAGTCTTTTAAAATACGTATTTTTGAAGGTTTTTGCTATATGTCGATGTATGGCTAAAATAGACATCTGTGTCACTTCATTTTGTATCATGTTTTTATTCCTGTTTAAATGATTTCTTCTTTCCCAAATATTGTGGTGGAGGTGTGGGCCTCAGTCTGTTTTACAAGATTTGGAATGTGTTACCCTCTTGGAAGTTGGAAATTTCAAAAACTTTCATTTGTGAATGTCATGGAAATAGAGATGCATTTTGATTTAGAAAGAAATACCAGGAGTGCACAATGATTTGCTGTTTACCCTTACTGTAAAAAGCTGCACAAAAGAAGTATTCGTATTTGTGTATTGATTCCTTATCGATGAGTTGACTGTGCTTATTTTAATTTCTTACCTCTGGGGCATGTAGCCATGGTACTGATGTTGCAGAGGCTGAACAGTTGACTGCTGCTTGCTGCCAGTGATCTTTTAACTTGTACTGTTGCCTGTTGAGATGGCCTTTCTATACTTACAAAGATATTTGAAGCAATTCCCAGCTGATGCATTACTGTTGGTATGAAAACATACTTTTTTTTTTTCTTCTTCCCTTTATCCCACTAGATGAGCCGTAAAGTGCTAGTTTCTTACTGTATGATTGTACTTTGACCCTTTTTCTGTGTTAATAGTCAGTCAGCCTTTTCTTCATGTTTTTGATTAGAGTCTTGAAGAGTGGCTTTTTATTTTGCTTTAACTCTCTGGAAGTTAGTGCTCTCGATCTAAGAATTTGGCCTGGTTTAAGACTAAGGTGATGATACTCAAGCAGTGGTCATTCTTCCTGCCCCTTCTGCCTGTCTCTGACTCTCCACTCTCGTACCATGTCGGATGGCTTGTCATGTAGCCACAGGATGAGTTGAATAAGGATCACATTTTTGTTCCCCCAGGTTGGTTTGGTTTTTGTTTCACAGCTGAGTTTGTTAAAGCCTGATGGAAGATGGTGATACAGTGTATGGAGAGGGAATTGGGCTGCTCAAGTAGCACAGTCCTAACATCTTGCTGCATCCTCATCCAGTCTGCTGTTACTGGGAAGAAATAGGGATTTTCAAACAGGCTTTCACTCCATTCAGAAATGATAGATACCTTTCTGAAGGTTCCTTTTTTCTATCAAGGGAACCTAAGTGAATAGCATAAATTCAAGCAACTAAATTTAGATCACTGTAAGAAAAATGCCCACCAACATCTTGCCAGTAAATGAAATTTTTTACGGTTTCTTACAGGGTGGGGTTTACCTGTTTTGTTCCCAGAAGGTCCTTGCAGCTATAGGATTTTTTGCAGGAGAAAGTTGATTAGGATCTTGGTCTTCGCTTGTTTTGTGTTTGGATGCTAACTCAAGTTCTTATTATGCATTTGCAGTTCTTAATCACCCACTGGCGTCATGCTGTAATACTCAGATTTTTCATTTCAGCTGAACACTGTTGGTCACTTTCTCTCAGTGTTCATATTAGTATTTAAATCTAGATAGCACACACAAATGCAAAACGAAGTTCACATGCTGCTTAATACTTAATTCTTTGTTGTAAGATCTAAGTAACTTGGTGATATTTCCTCTTTACAAGAGGACAAAACAGAATTTAAACTGTCTTCAGTAATAACTTTTCTTCCACTGATCGATGTTATCAGCAACAGTGAACTTGTTTTATTAGAAATGTTATGCTAAGTTTTATTTGAGTCTTTCCAGGTAACTTGCAGATAGCTCAGTCTTTCTTAGCTGTCTGTATTGAAGACTTGTTACTAATGTAGAAATATACTGTATGTGAGTTATGATATCCTAATATTGCCAGTTTTTCAGACTTCTTTTTGAAAGAGTTGTTGATACTAAGAAATGATTTAGTGAATTGATTTTTAAAGGCATGGATTTAGGCTGTGTGTTAGGATTGATTATTCTTTACTCTTTTCTCCAAGTATTCTTTTTGGTACTCGTGTGCTGAATTTATTTTTTTTCCCCAACAAATACAAACTGGTAGAAGTATACCACTGGAAGGAAGAAAAAAAAATGTCAAAATGTGCTCAACTAATCACTTGAAAGAACAGCCAAAATATCACAGTGACCTTATTTTGCTGACATGAACTGTTGTCTTAAGCACCTGAGCTTCTGGTCTACTTTTGGCAACCATAGTAATTGTAAAGAAATAGTAAATGAATGAAGATTCTTTACATTGTTAGAAGGTTTAATATAATTTCATTATACGTTCAGCTCTCTGTTCCTGCTGTCTCTCAATACTGAACTGCACTGTGTTAATACAAGTTCTATGTTTTTGGTGGGTTTTGTTTGTAGTTATAGGGTTTTGATTGGTTGGGGGTTTTTGTGATTTTTTTCTCTTGACTTTAGATTGAATCTGCCTGACATTCTTGGTATACACTGTGCTTAACACTTTAACGGAAAAACTGTTAGTAGATGATCTTAAGACTCCATACTGATTGTACACTGTCCCTCACCCAGTTTGCCCTCAGTCCTTGAAAGTTTTCAGTCCCTCTGACACTTAACATGCTGCTATTTATCTTTCTGATGGCTAGAAGTATGGAAGATAAAGCTGTGTTTTACATAAGGTAAATCAAAAAGCTAATGGGGATTTTTTTTAAATAGTTGATCACATACAACAGTCAAATATGTGAAGAACACTAAAACTGTTTTCTTCTTAGCACTTGCAAAATATGTCTTAGATATGCAGTTAATAAATATTTTTAATAATAAAATTACATTTTGTTTCTGCGGTTTTAGAGGACTTCTAAGTATCTTGCATGTAACTATGATAATGTATCCTTCTATTTCCCTCAATGTAGCGGGGATTGTTTAATGAAAATATTTTAATCCCAATGAAAAAATTCACTGAAAAGCCATTGTAGAAGTAAGAACTGCTTGTTTTCTCTTGTTAAATATGTAAGATTATACTAACAGTCGAAGAGCATGGAATGTTAAGGGCCTTCCTGACTTACGTAGTAGTTTGTTCTGTGGAAAAAAAATTAAATAAAGTCAAGATAACACTTTAAACTCTAAGTCTTAATTTTATTTTCTAACTTGTAGGATTCTTTTCCCTTAATAAATTATGGGAATGTATAGTCTAAATGCTTATCTTGTGACACTTTTCTCCAAGGCCAAGTCCTTGCTTGCCCTTTTCCATTCTGTGTGTCCTTAGTCAGGCAATAAGCCCTGTCCTGCCATTTATGGTATGATTACCCTTCTTTTTTTTGGTTTTCTGCTATTATATGAAGAAGATCAAGATTGATATTTTCCCACCTATATATCTTATAGCCTTATATTAATTCCTCTCGAAACAAGTTAGAATTCATACGAACTCACTGCTTCAAATAATTAATTTGAAAATATTAGGTTCCTTTTCCTGTTTCTTGCACTATATTTCTCCTTAACGAGGTAAGAAGGCAAAAATTACTTTTGAGGTATGTATAATCCTAACTCTTCTATAATTTGTTTTATTCTGTGGAGACTGAAAATCAAATTTGTAGCTTTCCTCAGCTCAGTTCTCTGGTAAGGAATGAGTTGAGGAAAGAAAGTAGCGATGGGTCTTAAATTAGGGTTAATTCATGCTACCAGACATTTGAGAGCTCAAAGTGGATAATGTTGTGCCTTGTACCTCACAGAGCTTTACAAGCTTCTACAGGTGTAAAATTTTCTCAAATCAAACTATAATTCAGGGCTTTCTTACACCCATCCCCTGTTTCAGGTAAGTAAAGAAGTAAACTCGTGAGATTTTTGAAGTTTTTCAAACCTCTGTCCAGCAATTTGACAAGCAACACTTGAAACTGCTAAATGGTAAAGGCTTACAGCTGCCTTTTGATGCTGGAGAAGACTTTTCCCTATTTATAGAGGTTTTGAACCAATTCCAGTGTCTTGATTTACAACAGGCAATACTTACTTGAAGGATTAAGTACTATTTATGGGTCTTCGGTCTGGATGGCCTTGGCATCATGCTGTGATCTTCTTCTGTTGTGTGTCAGGCAGGAAGTCTCTCCCATTGAATAATTGAGTAGGTGCAGTACATAAGTTGTGCCTTGTTTGGATTTCTGCTAAACTCAAGGCTGTTATAATTGTCCAGTCTACTTAACCAGTTCTAAGATTACTGTAGTAAAAAATGTCCTTAAATAGTTGCATCAGACAACGGTTTGATGTCTTTGGTTTCTTGGCTTCTGTGCTGATAGAAAATCTCTAGAGTGATTTTACAGTTCATAATTGCTCATTGACTAAATGAATTAAATGAAGGCTGAGTAAATTGGACTCCCCTTCTTCCTTAGTGGTGGTACATATTTATTAATCCATTTCAGTCCAGAATGTTACTAGTGTGGATTTAGTTTCCGTAGAAGGCTGTCTTTCTGCTTTATTAAAACACTTTAGATTTAGGCAGTTATTTTGTTCATTTTACCAATATGTGATGATTTCAGTTGCCTCTGTCCTGCCAGGCTGAAAAATTACTTTTTATAGTCCAGCCTAATTTTTTTTTTATTTTCTTACCAGGTTTTTTTTTATTATTTACTGGAAATGCTGCCTTCAGTTCCATCACATCTTTTACACAGAGTGTTGTTGTACACATGCCTTTACAGAGAATTAACCTGCAGGTTCTGTCAGGCTATTTCTTTATATAATTTATTTATTTCCTCACCCTTCCTTTAAGAGGCAG